CGCGGCCGCAGCACAGGCTCTCGCAGTTGTCCATGCCTGGGCTGGTCTTGTTGCACAGGCGCCCTTGGGTGCCCAAGGAGTCCAGGGCCGGTTCCCGCTCGCAAAAGTCGGGTGACTTCTCAAAGTAAACCAGCTCGCTGATGCCGGCCCGGCGGCGATGCCGAGCGTGGCCTGGCTCCAGCTGCCCGGCGTTGCGGTTGTGGGGCCGGATGAGGGTGGCCCCATAGAAGCGGTCCTTGAGCAGGGACCCCACCAGGCGAAACTCGGGTGTCACCTGCCAGCACGTCTTCAGCTGGCAGCTCCCTGAGGTGCCATGGCACTTGCACTTCCTCCTCATGTTGTCCATCACCACCTGGGTAGGGAGGGAAGGACAGAGACGTTTTTGGGGGACAGAAGCCATCGCGGAGCTCTCTGAGGGGTGGCACTACGGGAACACCAAGGGCTGACATGCGTAGCCATCAGAGCCCTGGAGCTGCAAAGCCAACAAGGCTGCACCCTCTTGCTGTGCCCAGCATCACCCATGTCCCACACCCTGTCCCTTCCCATCCTGGAAGTACCACCTGGCTTTTACACTCCAGCAAGCGATTGGCATCTGAAGGAGAGGGCGGGCCCCTGGCCACAGGGAGAAGGAGCCTGGATCTCGCTCTCCACTGCTGCTTGGCTCCGGCAGCATCAGCCTGACTACAGCCCCCCGTTAAAAGCCGGCATGGCTGCACCTCTGCAGCACTACTGGCACCCCTCAGTGCAGGCGTCCCCCCAGCACCACACTGGCCAGAAGCACTGCAAGTGGGACAGGGGGAAGGGATGCTTTTCTCTCCTCCCATAAAGTCCCAGCCCTTGCTCACAGCCCTCACTTGTGGTCTGGGGAGGCCCGTGCCACACGCCCGCCCCCCACGAGGGCCAGGCTGCGTGGGCTGGGCTGCGGCTGTGGTTTGGGCTGCCCGGGGAACGCAGCTCGGACAGGTCCAAAGGCCAGTGTAGGGGCAAGGAGGTGCCTGACACATGCTGCCTGTTCCTGCCCCCTCCCTGGGGGGGACGTGTGTGCGAGGAGTGCCTTGTTTTGGTAGGGGTGGGTAGTTTTTACTCCTTGTTTTCTTATTTTTGAGTAAATCTTCCCGTTGCTAAGCAGTTATGGTAATGAAGGCAGGTCAGGGAAACACGCCTGGAGCTTGGGGCACATGGTGGAGAGGTCTGGTCTGGGCTGGAGTTTGGCTTTCATCCTGCTGAGAGTCCTGTCTCCTGCCGGGAAGAGCCTCCAACTCACAGGTAAGGAGCTGCCCGGCCTCTCTGCTGTGCCCTGGGTGTGCCAGCCAGGAACACCGGTTGCTCACCACCATCCTTGCCATCATCCATGGAAATGCAATGGCACTGGGACCCCATCCTTTCCCACATCCCCTCCCTGCTCCCTTGGCTGAACAAGGGAAAACCTGCATATAGGGCTGTGGCTGGGATGGTCACCAGGGGAATGGAGGGGACAGCGGTGTGACAGCTGGATGGGGGCTCATTTGGGGTGATGGCTGGCGGCAGCAGGGATTGGACTGCGTTTGTGTGTCAAATTCATCACCCAAGCGATCACTGCTGAGCATCCCGAGACCCAGCACCACAACACCCATCCACCCCCACCCAGGGTTGGCTTGTTCTTCCTCCCATATGGGCAGCGCAGCAGGGACAAGACCCTGCCAGAGCCGGGACACCCAAGAAGGACCCATCTGAACCTCGGCCCCATGTTTTTGCCATCGGATCTCTTCCATGCACCCCTACCTGGCCACATCCTTCCCCCTTCTCACAGACACCCAGGTTCAGCACATGCCCGGACTCGCTGGTGCTTTCTTTTGCACATTCCCAGCTCCTCCCAGACACGCTCATAAGAGCTTTATCGTAGGTCTTTGTTGTGAGGGTAATGGGTAGCTCCTGGCTGCCTTTCATCCTCTCTTGCTCTCTGATCTGGCAGGTTAGGAAGACCTGCAAAGCTTCTCGCATGCTCCTGCTGTTCCTTGCTGGGGAACTTACACCCTCCCACGGATGCAGGACACCCACCTCAGTCTTGAGTCGGAATAGGAAGCCCTGTAGCAACCAAGGTTGCCACGGGGCTTCCTATTCCAAATCAAGATGGAGGTGACCACTGCCACCAAGGTGACCACTGCCACCATCAGAGGATGCTGAGCATCCCCTGCTGCTGCAATCTCTTTCCCAGCTTCATAGGTGGGTGCAAAATGGAAAAAATCAGTGTGTTTCTGCCTGGTTTCGAACCAGGGACCTTCCGCGTGTCAGGCGAACGTGATAACCACTACACTACAGAAACCCACATCCCATGGCCCCTGGATGCAGTCACTGGTGGGATTGTCACCTCCCGCCCAACATTTCAGGGTCTGAGATGGGAGTTGGGTTTACCCACGCACAGAGCACCCTTGGGACACGCAGGGAGCACAGAGAGGATGCTCAGCGTCTGTGAGATGCTGGAGAGCCCTGGGTGCTGCAGCTACTCAGTGCACGGAGAGGGACAGCGTGTGGCAGGGCATGGCACGTGGTGTGCGTGTCCCCATCACCGCTCTGCTCAAGGGCTTCAAGCCTTGGGACTTGGAGGAGAGGACCACAGAGCTGCTGCATCCAACACGGCCACACTTTTCCTGGGAAATCCTAGCAGATTGCTCCTTATTGCAGCAGAAAGGTGGTCCTAGGAGTGAGGGGGGTTTGGGTGGGTGTGGGACACCTGAAAGGGCAGGCCCCCAGGGAGCTGGAGAACCCATCCCTAAAAGAGCAGGACCCCAGGGAGCTGGAGAACCCGTCCCCAGGCAATATGGATGGCCAGGTCCATTCCCGGCAGTAAGCACAACACCAACAGGCACAGAGCAGGCGCAGCATCGAGTCCTTGCTCCAACACATGGCACCCACAGCCACCACAACCTGACACACACACACACAGAGGCTCACACCCTCATCTCAATTGGGTCCCTGCACTGGGCTGCCTGTCCAGCCGTTGCTCCCCCACCTGCACCGGTACAGTCCCCTCCCTTATCCCTTTGGTCTGACTCTTCCACCTCCCAGGCTTCTTCCATCAGTCCAGCTCTTGTCTCTGAAGCCACCAAGAGGTAACATTGCCAGTCCTGTGCCCACCTGCCCTCGGGGACAAGCAGACCGCCAGCATTTTTGCTGTTGCCAGATCCCGCAGGCACCATGTGCTGACACACCTTCTCCTGCAAATATTCCTCTCTCACCTTCCCCTCCCTCTGCAGGGGGCTGTGGAGCTTCCCTTGGGAAACAAGCACTGCAGCCCCCAAATTTCTGAGTGCTACCAGGAGTCCCAGTAGTTTGGGGTATGCAGAGCTGGAGAGGAACCAGGATGAGCCCTGCAACCAGAATTGGGAAGGGGGGGTCTTGCCTGGCTTGGGGCAGAGCAGCCTGCAGAGGATTTAGCTGCCTAACGCTGAGTGAGCCTTCCCCACACGCAAGCAAGTGAAGCCAAACGAGCGAAAAGCTCTGGCTTTCCCCAGGCATTCCCGGCTTTTCAGCATGGTAAAGTTCAGCTCCAGCAGCAGGGAAGGGCACACATCAAGGTCCTGCTCTGCAGCGTCCCCATCTCACGGCACATCCCAGTGTCTGCGCCATCCCAGGAAAACACTCCCTGTGGAATCCTGATCTTTAATTACTTATTCCCACAGAGACTACACACCCCCCTGTGCGCTGCCCTGGCAGCATGTGGCTGGGATCCTGGGGACAAATGTCCTGCTGGATGCATGAGATCTCCCTCCTTGGCACCTGCTGGGAGCAAAGCCAGGCAGGGAAACGCAGCCGTCCTCCCAGCCCCTCCTGCCTGCGTGTTTCTTGTCTCCAATGCCAGGCTGCTTTGAAACATCAGCTTCCAGACAGAGCGAGCTACTAATTAGCACCTTTAATGAGACCTGACATCATGTGAATGGAGGGGAGGCTGCCCTGCTCGCCTGGGCAGGCTCCAGCACCCCTCGGAGCTGGGGGACAAGGCTGTGGGCTGTCACCTCCACTCCCAAGGGGATGCTGCACTTCCCAGCTGGCATAGGCTCCATCCTGCCCACATCTGTCTCCTTGGAGCACTGTCTCCCTCTCTGGAGGCCGGGCTGCAGCTGGGTGCTTTGGAGCCTGTGCTGTGTCCCATGATGCCAGTGACTTTCTCCTCCCTGTCCATAGCTCCTTCCCGCTGCAGCTGCCCAACACCAGTTCAGCCAGACCCCGGGAGGCAGGAGCTGGGCTCATTGCCGAGCCACCCCCAGACCATTGCCGCAGCAGAGGCAGGTGACAGTGGCCTCAGGAAGTGTCCTTTGACAGGGAGACAGCAGGGATGCTCATAGGTTCCCTCCCCAGCAGAGATGCTTGGAGCAGGTTTGTTCTACTGCCTTTGCTCCGGGCAAAGCTGGGGAGAGGGGGTGCCTTGGGGGCAATCCCAGCCTCACACACGGATCCCACTGCAGCCAGCATGAGACCCTCGCAGCCTTTCTGCATGTGTACTGGGGACCCTGTCCCAACTACCATCACCCCACACCCCTGCCCAGCGCCCTGCTCACCTGACGACCCACGCGGTTGTTGTGCAGCCTCATGCGGGAGTGGATATCCCTGTAGGTTTCCCGGGAATCGAGGAAATCCTTGGAAAACTTCTCCCCATAGTCCACATCAGGGCTGCACCCTCCCCATTCCCAGGAGTCCTGGAGGCCGGGGGTCTCTGCCGGCATGTGCTCCATGTGCACCCCGTGCACCATGCCTTTGCCACGGTTCATGGCCTCCAGCTGCAGACGATGCAGCTTGCGACGAAAAGCCTCCTCATCGCCCCGGCGCTTCTGGTCGCAGCCGCAGGCCTGCAGCTTGCCGAGGGCACAGGCGTTGGAGACGGCGTGCACCACGCCAGCAGCCGCGATGGCATAGGCAAAGGCGCTCTCCCGAAAACCTGCGAGGAAGGAGACAGCGGGGCTCAGGCTGGGCACTGTCATGGGACCCGCAGGTTCAGCGTGTGCCTTGCCCTGTCCTGATGTACCAGATTCCACCTGGACATGAGGGAAACCTCACCCGGTGCTCTCCAACCCCATTCCCACCAGGATACACTGCTGCCCTGAAGCCCAGCCCTGCCCTGGCCAGGGCCTCAGCTCCCACATTGCCCAGGGAGATGCCACTATGGCACTGCTCAGGCATCAGCTCTGATGGGAAAGGCAGTACCTTCTCCCTCCACTCAGAGTTTCCCACTATATAAAATATAATGCTGGCTGAGGAATACTTCTGTGAGGAATGGGCCGTTCCTGCTTGCCCACAGGGCGCAGGAACAGGCAGTAGCAGGGGCAGGCAACGCTCTCTATCCGGCCCCATCCGTCTGCCCATGCCCCTTCCCTCCCCAGGCCCTGCCAGCTCCCGCAAGAAACTCCACATGCAATAACTGCGCTGGAAAAATCGAGCATCCCTGGTTAGTGAGAGCCTGCCGTGACCGCACTGCATGCTGCCAGGGCCGGCAGCTGGTTGTCGTTAAATGCCGGGGAGCGAGGACGTCCGCAAGTGTCATTAGCTGGGGATGGGACGGACAGGGACAGGTCCCGTGGCAGGGGCTCCAAGGGGCTGGAAGCGGGGACTGCCCGAGTGTCGCTTGGCTTTGCTGCAGCCAGGTGAAGAGCCTCCCCTACCAGGGAACTTCTGGTTTATTTTAAATGCAAAGTAATGCTTTTATCTGTGTTTCGCGGGCCAAGCGGGGAGCCCGCAGTGCCCTTTGCTTCAACGTGCCGTGACCAGCCCCAGCACGAGGAAGGAGAGCCAGATTTTGTGCCATGGCTTCACACGTGAATAAATACATAGCTGGAATTCGCCAGCCTCTGTCCCTCCATTGGACAAGAGCAGCTTGATCAGCCCTGGCTCTGCTACAGCTGAACAGACGAGAGGTTTTGGGGATCTTTAACAGCAAACGGGGGGGCTTGGGCGAGCACCCCAAAGCGCAGAGTCATGAGAGGCGAGAATACAACCGCTCCCCGACGCCGTCGCCCGTCCTGGGCGATGCTCCCCATCACGCAGGTCTCCTGTCTCCTTGGCGGTTCGCTGCCGCCCGCCGAGCAAACACTATGATCTTATTAAAGGGAAATGAAACGCAGCTCGGAAACCTGCATTTAAAGTCACGCTGCTCTTTTGTGTGTTAATTTGACACCGGTGCATTTAAAAAATTAACGAGGCGCTGCTTAAAAGCCAGCGGGAGCCTCTCCCAGCTTCCCTTCGGTGTGGGACAAGCTTGCTCTCAGCCTGCCTCTTCCCATGCACAAGTTGAACAACATTTTTCAGCAGGCAGGTAATGGGGCTGCTGGTGCGTACGCTGCGCAGGCTCCCCAGGGAGAGCACTGGCAGGCAGCGCCTGCAACACACCCACATCGCTGCGAGAGCAGGACAGCCCAAATCTGGGGAACTTCAGCCCCCAGGTGAGCAGTACAGGATGGAGAACAATCACAGGAAAGTCTCCAGGATCCCCAAATCCTCCTCGTATCAGTTCTCTGTCCACACAGTCTGGGTCAGCTCCAGCCCATTATGAGCCAAACCTGAGCACAGCCCAGGAGCAGGGACTTGTCATTGCCACCCTGCTTGGCATCCCCGGCTCCTGGCACAGCCGGTGCACGGGGACAGCAGCAGCAAACCCTCCACCCAGCACAACACTCTTCTCCCAGCCCTGCCTTTCCATTAGCCTCTTTCTCACACATTTCTCCAGCCTAACGAATAATTTCTCATGTGGCATCTTCTTAAAATCCCTTCTGGAGCCCAGACAGAAGCTCTACCCCACCCAGTTGGTCTAGCAAGCCCGTCTCCTTACAGAGACCAGGTTCATTTGGTGCCCTCCACAGCCGGGAAACCCTGGGGTCAAGCCCCAGCCCCCCTCCTTCCTCCGCTGCTCTCCAGCCACGCGTGAGCTGATGGATGAGTCACGGTCCTTGTCCCTGAGGCTGCCATCCCCCAGGATGCGGGCAGGGGTTGGGTTGGTCCCCAGGACTTGACATCCCAGCGCTCTGGGAGTCTTGTTCCCATCTCACCATGGTAATTTTCCTGCTCAGTGTCACTCTGGCCCCACGACTCCTCCCTGCCTTCTCCCCTCTTTCATTCGATGGCTCTCATGAGGAGCCATGCACAATGGGGAGGAGGGGGCCAGGGCAGCACTGGGACCGCAGCGGCCATGCCAACGAGGTTCTGCTCCGAGGTTCAGTTTACATTCCTCACTCTCCCCCAGCCACGCCAGAACCTGGAGGATTGCAGCAAAGCAGCAAGCAATGTGGCTGCAGGCAACAACCACTGGCCTCATGGGCTCAGCAAGGGTGGGAGCTTCCAGGAACCGCAGCCGAGCACGGCGTGCAGCAGCCGGACCCGAGCCCTTCAGAGGGAGGCTCTCCAGCTGCCCCAGCCACCGAAGACCTCAGTGGTCATGTTTGAGTCACTAGATCCCTCCAGAGATTGCAGAAGAGGTTGTAGCCGTGGGAGGGGTAAGGGGAAGTATTGCATCCTGCAGGGAAGAGGGAATGGAGGACACCGCCCCGACACCACCGTCGGCATCCAGCCTGCTGTGTATTTAAAGGACTGTGCCGGACAGGGAGAATGAATCTAAAATCTTGGCCCCAGGTCAGATCCCAAAGCACCTTTCTTATCCAGGGAAAATTTTCCCTGTCAAGGCCA